GCCGGGTGGTCACGGTCCGTGGCCGGCGCTCCCAAGTGCCGTGGATGCGGAGGTCCCGGTGAGCTCCCGGTGCAGCTTCCAGACTGTACAAGGTGGCAGAGTCTGGGGGGGGGTTTGGGGGGGGCCCCCTCCCCCCGAGACGCCAGGGGGGGTGCGCAGAGAGCAGGGGGGTGGGGGAAGAGATATTGTCCCAACGGCTGAGTCCTGAGCAACTCGGCTCATGCTCCGCGCCCGCTGCCTGGGGCAGGACGGGAGGGTCTGCGCGGGGGGGTGGGTTTTGTTTTTTTTTTTCCATTTGTGGGGTTTTTTAATAAAAAAAAAGGGGGGGGGGAGGGGTTGTGGGTTTTTTTTTTTCCTGCGTGTTTTTGTTTTCTTTCTATAAAGTCCGGAGCTGGTAGCGAGGGTATGAAGGGGGCGAGGACAGGGCGACCCTCCAAAAATAATGAAATCTCAAAAAAAAAAAAAAAAAAAAAAAAAAAATCGCTTCCCCTCCCTCAGTAAGGGGAGAGTAAAGAAGGGGTGGGAGGGACAGGGGGGCTTGCCCCCTTCTCTCCCCCTGGCCCGGGGGGGAGCGGCCCCTGGCTCCCCCTCCGTAGTGTGAGCTCGGCGGAGGGGTCCCTCCGGCCCCCGCTCCCCGGGTTGGGGGGGTCCCGTGGGGGGCTGTGGCTCACCAGGAGGGGCAGGAGGAAGAGGAAGAAGGGGTTTTGGGGGGCTAGGAGGGGGATTTGGGACCGAAACCGAGAAACCGAACGACGTTACTAAGAGCTTGGCCGGATCAGTTGGAGTCGGAGTCGGAGGAGTCCCCCGAGGAGGAGGAGGAACTGCTGCTGCCCTCCGAGTCGTTGTCGTCCTCATCTTCATCATCCTCGTCCTCGTCATCCTCGTCGTTCTGGGGAGGTGGGGTGGGGGGGGGATGGCAGAGAGGACCGGGGGGTTAGCGGCAGGGCTGGGGGCCCCGGCTGCCGTCCATCATCTCCCCCTGGTCCCCTGGCTCACCCTCCCCGCTGCGGCACGGGGGGGGGGGGGGGTGTTCCCCACAGAAGGGGGGTTTGCAACCCCATCCCTCCCACTGCTGCCACCCCAGGGTGGAGGGGGATGGAGGAGGGACGTGGGGCAGAAGTGAGTTTGCAAGGGCTCAGCTCGGGGGTTGCTGGGGTGGGGAGCGTGCCGGAGCAGCGCGCGGGGGTCCTACCCTCACCTCTGCCACTGCCTCGCTACACGATCCGAGGTAGGGTACCCGACCCGCCTCGTGCCTCAGTTTCCCCCCTCTAAAGCCAGGGAAGGAAGAGGCGTGAGCTGAGACCAACGAGGGGGTCGAAACACCTCACCTGTCCGGTGGCGAGCACAAGGCACGGACACGGTTTCTGGCCCCAGCGCCATCCAGCATAGTCTGATTTCAGTTGCACCGGTGTAAAACTTTGACTCTGGTGACTTACTCGGCATTCACACTGGCGCAAACGGAGCCGAGACCAGACTCAGTATCTCCACCAGGAAAAAGACAGGAGATTTTTCTCTGCTCACTGGGGGCTCTGCACAACCCGCACCTCTACGTCCCGAGGCTGCTCCTAACTACGCCCCGCGGCTGCTCCTCGCACCCCCCCCGGGGATGCCGGGCGGGTTGGGGTGGGGGGGATATCCCGTTCCCCTTCGCCTCCCCGTGTCCCCCCGCTTCCCGGGAGCTCTTCCGCCATGGTCCTATCTGAGCCCGGGTGCGGATGCCCCCCAGCCCCGGAGGTGGGTGAGGGCGGGGAGGGGGGGCAAAGCGAGCGGTACGGGAGCGGAGCGGGGCCCGGGACGGCCCCGCCGCCCTCCCCAGGGCACGCACCGCAGCCTCACCTCATCCCCGTCTTCGCTCTCCTCCTCGCTGCTGGACTCTGAGGAGTCGCCGCCTTCCTCTGACGAGTCACCGTTGTCGTCGTCGTCGTCCTCATCTTCATCGTCATCTTCTTCCTCCTCTTCCTCTTCGTCATCGTCCTCTGACTCCTGCAGGGCGGGAGGGGGTTGGTCGCAGGCGGGCACCCCGGGAAACCAGCACCCATGGGTGCACCACCCCATCCTTGGCCATCAGCCTTTGGGTTCCTCCGTCCACCAAGCGGGATCAGGTGGCTCCTACCCCACACCTTGTGTGGAAGCCTTTTCCCCATTTATGTTACAAACGGCCCCAAAAGGCTCCCAGAGTGGGTGCAAGGGGATGTCGTAGACTGCAGGGGGGCAAAATCAGACCTGGGTGGGTTTTGAGCACAGATTTGGGGAGGGCCCTTGGTTTATTGCCTCAAGGAACGGGCAGGCAGCAGAAAGCACCTGGGATGCCTCAAATAAGAGGTCTGGGTCCCCCCCCGGGACACCCTCCCCAGGAAGGAGGGTGCTGGGTATCCCCAGTGCGCAGCACAGCCATCACACACTCACCGACTTGGACTGCATCGTTGGCTTCATCTTGGGGTTGGGACCCCGGATCTTCCCTATGCTTTTGCGTTTCTGCAGCGGGGGGGAACAAAGCAAAACCATTTAGAGCTGCAAGGCTTGAGCTCAGCTCCTTCCCAGTGCGTGGCACGGAGAAAATCCCACTGCCAAGCTGCTACAGGGGTGAATCCCTTTGAGGGGCTGTCCTGAGCTCAGCTCACCTTCTGCACATCCCAACCTCACCCAGGGCTGATCCCAGCCCAGCCCCAAGCCCCCAGGTCCCCCTCCACGGCGGTTCCGGGTGGATACTCACATTGGAAGTGTGTTCCTTGTAGGCAGCCCGCTCCTGGGGCGAGAGGCTCTGCAGAGACAGAGGAGACAGTCAGGGCACAGGGAGGGCTGGGCAGGCATGGAGTAGGGGACGGTGCGGGGAAGGACTCTAGCACGGGGCACTCCCTACATATATTTTTTTAAAGGTCCTTTAAGTTGTAAAATGCCAAAAAAGGGTCTGGAGATGGTGGTTCCCAGAGGAAGGCTGTGAGCAGAGACCACACCAAGCATCCACAACAACAACCGACCCCAGAGCCCCTCAGTTCCCCCCACCAGGCATCGGGGCTCAGCCCTCACCTTGAGCCAGATGTCGAGGTGCACCTTGTACTGTTTCTGCTGCTCCTCTGCCAGCTTTTTGTAGTGGTCCTTCTGGCCCTGGGAGATGCGCTGCCAGCGGCTGCCAATCTCCACCATCCGCTCCTTCAGTGGGAGGTGGTTCAGCTCCCCGTTTGACAGCAGCTCCTGGGAGAACTTCTGGTAACCGTTCCTGCAAGGGGGGAGCGCAGAGACCAGATCAGATGGCATGCACGAAGAACCGAGGCATCCACAAGCAGCCCACACTAACCACCATCCATCCCCACCATGGTCCAAGCCCACACTCCTTCCACCCCGGGGCTGCTCCAGGCTCTTTTGCACTAGCCCACTTGCCCAGCCAGATCCAACTTTTCAGACCCCAGACCCCAGGTACTCACATGGGGGGTTTCTTCGGCTCTCCCTGGAACTTCATTTTCTTGGCGGAGTTGGTGGAGCACGGAGGGGCCCGCATCTCGCTCAGCTCCCTCTGAGCCAGAGGAGAAAGACGTGTCAGGGAAACATGGGCAGTGCCGGCTGCGGGGGCATGGTGGGGGGCAGGAAGGAACAGGGACCCACCTCGTATCGCTTCTGATCCTCTGCCGCTTTCTTGATCCACATCAGCTTCTCCTTCTTCTCCATGTTGTTCCAAGTGGCCTCCATGGCCTTCAGCGCCTTCCCCCGGTCGTTCTGTGGCACAGACCCCACCATCACATTAGATGCACCCAGGATGCCGGGGTGCTACCGCTGCCTCTGCCAAGGACCGTGAGGTACCCACTCCCTTGCTGTGACCCCTGTCCCCGCCATGACTCCCAGTCCCAACCCATTGCCTCGGGTGTGAAAGCAGGGGAGAAGGTGCAAGACAATTCCTACTGGTGGGAGTGATGATCCCACTTCCAGCTTCTTTCCCGGCCCACTCCTCACCTTGAAACGAGCCAGGTAGTCTCCGATGACGCTCTGTTGCCAGATCTCCTCAGCTGTCTTGGGAGACTCGGGCAGCTTCCCACGCTCTTCTTTATCTGAGCCGTGCTTCTTCTCTGACTGCGCCTTCATTGCTGCCTCCCGCGCTTTGTACTTGGCCTGCACAGGGGTGCACGGCAGGGGTGAAGGGGCAGCACGGCCACCCGGGCATAAGCCCCCGGCCACCAAGCACCAGGAGGGCAGGCAGCAAGACACTGCAGCTTCCCCCAGTGCTGTCCCCACAGTAGCTGCAGCAGCCCCCCACCACACACACCCACGTCTCAGGATTTCTCCCTGCCTGGAAAACCATCAAGCCTTTAAACTGAGGCTCAAGGACCCTCCAAGGTTTCTTAAGCTGCTGGGTTTTGACCCACCAGGTCACGAGAGGGAGAGAGAACAGCTGGCGGCACCCATCGGTGCCGACACCAGCGCCTGGGTGATGGCTCGCTGGAGCTGTGATGCTCCTGGGGACAATCATTCCCCAGCTGCGGTGCCCGGGGGCGAGCAAAGCCCCTTGCAACAGGACAAAGACAGGGAGCATCCCCCGGACTCCCAGAGATGCCCAAAGGAGCAGCAGAGACAGGGATGGAGGAGAAGGGTCGGGGAATGCCAACCTTCTTCTTCTCGGAGAGGTCATTCCACATGCGGGCCAGGAGCCGGGTCAGCTCGCTCTCCGACAGCTCCGGCCGCTCCTCCTGCAGCTGCTTCCGCTTCTCCTCCGAGAAGATGAACATGGCGGAGATGGGTCGTTTGGGCTTCTCTGAGCTGGCCTGTGGGAAGGACACGGGGCCGTGGGCGGGGGCAAGCCAACAGAGGGACCTGCCTGACACTGGTAGCCTCCAACCCCAGGAAAAACATGGTGAAAGAACAAAGGAATGAAGCCCTCAAAGCACCCTGAGATGTCAGCAACCCCATCCCATGTCTCTGGCACATGCTGCCCCATCTCTCCAGTTGCCGCTCTCACCTTGCCAGTCTCTGGTGAGGACTTTTTGGATGCAGGACTTGTCGCCCCTTTCCGGTTGCTGCCCAGCATCTTCTCCTCGCCTAGCACCCGCTGCTGCTCCTCCTCGGGCAGGCTCTGGGTGGCACAGGAGGAGAGACACAGTTAGATGGCCTGACGCTAATGAGGCTTTGATGCAACCAGGGAATAGGGACACTGGGGAGGGGGAGCTAATGCACTCAGTTGTCCTGATCCAAAAGCCACCCCAGCCAGGACCAACATCAGGTACTGCAAGCCTAGG